CATTGTAAAAATAAAAGAAGACTGACAGATATTGAATGTTAGCATACATCATGAAAAAGCAAATAAATTTCTTTGTATAAAGATGTTAATTAGCAAAACCTCTAAATTTTCCCAACTTGATGAAAACTTTTAGAAAAATAAGAACGCTGTAGAATATTACTGGATTAGGTTCAATCTCTGCTATGTCTCAATAAACAATTTTAGCATCATGGATGTGGAGGTGATGTAGTGGAAAGTGGAGTCAGCGAGCTGGGTTCAAATTCCAGCGTAGACTAATGCATTCACTTTCGCAAAAACACCTTCGGGAAACGCATGAAATTATCACTTCTAACATCACCCCTAGCTATAGATTAAATATCAAGATAATTAAGGTTGTCTATCCAGAAGGAAAAATTTGAATTCCGAACCGCTGAAAAGGCAACGAGAAACCACTCCACTATCATTCCCAATCAGGCAGAGAGAGAAAATGAATCTTTGGAGAGCCATGATCACCTGCGTTCTAAAGGGACATTGCTTTTTTTAAAATGTAGTAGGAGAAATAGGAATATTATTTGTTAAGGATTTAAACGAACAGTAACTGATTGCTTACAATGGAGATCAGATGACAGCAAGTCTAATCCAAAAATTTCTTTAGCATTTTATCTTTTTTTTTTACTCTTTTAACCATTTCACCCCAAGCAAAGCAATAAAGCCTCTGAGACACAATAGGTTACTGAGTGTTAGACAATATGAGATTTTTTTTTTAAATTTTAAGGAGACCGAACAATAAAGATCATGAATTAAGACTACAAATGATAAAGATTTATATTTCATTTCAATTTTTCAAGATCAAGTCAGACTAAAACAAGAAGCCGGAAGAGAGTTCCACAAGTGAGAGATACGAGAGAAGAAACTGTTATCGTAGAACTTACGGTTGCATCTAGCCATTTCGATTGTAATATGATAAGACTTTGCTGTCAATTTAATACTGCGATTAAATTTATGGTGTTTAGGTACCATAGAAGAAAGTTCATCTGAACAATTACCATGAAAATATTTAAAGAGAAAAAGCACAGGGAAGCTATTTTACGGCAGTAGAAAAGTAACTGAATCCGATTTGCCAGGTCAAGACCGATAACATTGCAGATTCTTCTTTTGATTTTATCAAGAATCTCTAAATATAGGCGTACCAGACCAGAAGTGGCAGGAATAAAGTAAGGCCGAATCAGTCTGTTCAGGCGGTCCCCGATTGGGGGTCTTCCCAACTTTTTACTTCCTTTTGTTTTCTGATTATTCCCCAATATAAGGCCTGGGAGACGCTCAAAATAGAAAGTTATTGAATAAGGCTGTCGTATAAATATCAGTTTAAGATGATATGTTGGAAAGATTCAAGGGGTTAAGATTGTAGTGATTGGCAATGCATCCACTCGAGAGTCCGTTCCACGAAGTATCGAATCTTGGGAAGATGCTATCCGAATGAAACTTCCTCCTTACTAATGGAATACAAAGGGAATTGAGTTGATTCGTCCCAGTGTACGTCGCATGACGAGTCTTAGCTGTGATGGTCTCAATAAAGAATGTAGCGCGTCAGAACATTTACCATGAAAATAGGGATAAAATAGCAAAAGTATTGCCACATTTCGCCTGTGGGAAAGGAGTTGAAGATTGGAAAATAATTGATCACCCATAGGGACGCGTAGACAGTATTGTGACTAGAATGTGAGGACTTGGCAGTTCCAACCAAGATATAGCAGTAGTACTACATTTTTGGTCTAATCTGCGTCTTGTAAAGATAGAACATGGTAGCAGGAGCCAGATACTTACTCGAGCGATAGAAGAAATCAACCATTTTTCCAGCATCTTCAGCGATAGATCGTATATATGAGTTCCACTTGAGTTCTGAACTTGTATCAAGATGTGTCTCCCAAGTCATCTTGGTTGCCTCATAATAGAATAGCTACATCGATATCTAGGTATGATGCTAACCCACTACTCCCATTCATGAGTAGAGATACACTGTTGTAACATTAGAGTGTCACTGAACGGAATATGAAAGCCATGCTTGCTATAGTATCAGGACGTTACTTAATGGGATATTTACTGAGGTCAATCTAAATTCACCAAAAAAGAACATATGCATCAATTAACATCAGATCCCATGAGAACCATGCCTTGTATATTTTCAGGGCGTCAATGAACGGTATATTTACTGTTGTCAATCTTAATTCACCAAGACAATGAGAGCTATGGCGGATATAGAATGAGAGCATTACTGAAAGATATATATATATATATATATATATATATATATATATATATATATATATATATATATATTGTACTCCATCTTAATTCACTAAGACAAAACATGTACGTGATAACATCTCTAATCAGTTATGATCAGAATCCATGAGAGCTATGGCTGTTATAGCACCATGACATCATTGAAAGGGATATTTATTATACCCCATTTTAATCCACCACGAAAAAACATGTACGTGATAACACCTCTAATCAATTAAGTTCAAAATCCATGAGAGCATATTCATAATTCCCCATAAGTTCATTTATTATTAGTAGTAGTAGTATTTGTATCTTAACATTATTTTTATATGACTTGCTTGTAATTAGCATAATTTAGGTTATATATATATGTCCTGATTTACCTGAAGCAAAGCAAGTTTTTCTCTATTTGTCGTAGCATATCTACGGACGATAATGGATATGTCCCTCACATAAATACAGTAGTAAATGCTGTATGTTGGTCTGCAGTTGGAAAACCGTCTCCAGATGTGCTAGTCAAACTCTTTGCCTCCGGTCAGAGAGGATCCCCCCAAATGAGGCTATATCGAATGACAGAGTCTCGTTTCGGGAAACAGCTACTCGACTCCGTTTTATACGGGGTCTACAGGGAATTTTTGCCCGAGCCTACGGGTTCAGATACCCCACATTAAATTTCGGCCTTGTGCCACATTTGACTGTGTGCAGCGTTTAGTATATATCCTGCAGTTGGATATTCGTCTCCAGCTGTGCTAGTCAAACTCTCTGCCTCCGGGCAGAGAGGATCCCCAGACAAGGCTATGTCTCGTCTCGGCAAACATCTACGAGGAATTTTTGGTCGAGCCTACAGGCTCAGATACCCAACATTAAATTCGGCCTTGTGCCATATCTGACCGCGTGGGGTGGTTGGTAGATATTCTGCAGTTGGAGATTCATTGTGGAATTACTTGACTCTCTTCTAGCAGTTAACTACTTCTACACGCTGCTGGTGAATCTTATATGTGTTGTTCTTGTCCTAAGTATTATCGTTCATTACCAACCTTCGTGTGATTATTCTATTCAGTAGCCTTCCCTAGCTTACAACACTATTTAAATTGCAAAACAACACAACCTTATTCCTCTATTTCCTGATAACTCAGTCTCAAGTTTTCCCCTTTTCACTCACGAGTGTAAGCCAGAAAAATACTGTGTAACCCGTATATAAGAGACCCGGATATAAGAGAAACCCGGATATAAGAGAGATTTTCTCTGGTCCCAAATTAGAGCCTGTGTTAATGTATATAAAATAGACCAAACTCGGATATAAGAGAAACCCAGATATAAGAGACTTCTCCGGTCCCGACAACTCTCTTATATCCGGGTTACACTGTACTCAAGAAACTATAAAGTAGTTATTTGTCACAAGAGTGTGTAAAAATTACAGACAACATGATATTCCAAAAGGAAGACATTATGGAATTAAGATCTACTATCTTCTTGATTCCTCTTCTTTTATTGTTCTCTCCCCTTAATAACGTTTTTCTTATTCTTCCCAGTAAGCAACCCCTTGTGTCTTAACTGTTTTGCTTTGGGTAAAATAAATTAAAAAAATCGATTGATTTTTAACATCGGGGATTACTCTCACTTGTCAGGTTTACCCAGAAACCGCTAGATAGCACTGTTAAACAATTATAAAAATATCACACTTCCTGTTTCTTTCTCAATTCCTTTCTTTTCCTTCTAGCATGTGGTAGAAATAACACAGAGTTTGTTACTAGCGTGAGAATATCTTTCCCCGGGTGATTGAACTCTTACACACACGCATATTTCCGAGTGTATCACACACACAATTCCTAATTGCCAGATTTTAATATTTTTTCCAGCCATTTTTTCATTCATTCAAATATATATTATTCCTTGTTAATCTCTTATTAGCCAAATATAAAGCACATGAAAATATCGCTTTGTTGAAATTTATTCCATTTCCTTTCACCTTTACAAGTAATCACGGCCCGTCGTTTACATGTGTAAATTTTGTTTGCCACACTTTTTTTAGTTCAACTAAGAGCAGCTTTGCAACAAGTTTCTGCCAAAGATGAGAACTTTCTTCAATTAGTCTGTAATATTTAAGAAAGTTTTAAACACAGTCTTTGGAATTATGTCATTCCCCACTTTTTAGTACTAATGGTTTTCATCTTTCCGTCAGTTGTTGTCTTCAGATAGAATGTTTTAATCTGGAATAATTCATTTTTAAATTTCAGATAGTGATAGTATTTTTCAAGGGAAGCAACTCTTAACCGCCTCAACAATTTTCACACTAGTTTGAATTATCCAAAAATAAAATTTTCACTCCACAATAGTGAGTGGTATTTTTATCTAATTTACCAGAAAATAATCAAAAATAATAAAAGCAACTTAATTTTTTTTATTATTATTTCTTCATTTTTCCTTAATTAGTTTATTAATTAATCCTTAATTAGGCATAAATACATGAAAATATCGTCTTGTTGAAATTTATTCCATTTCCTTTCACATCTAGTGACAACTTGTTGTTTAGATGAGTAAATTTTGTTTGCCACTGCAATTTTAGTCCAAATAGCAAACCGTATACGTAACAAATAGCAAACCGTATACGTAACAAATAGTAAATTAATGAAAGCGTCAATGAAAGCCTTTTAGGATTGAGTATGTGTTTTATTTTTATTCTTACAACAAAACATTCATATATATTTTCAATATAATTCTATTCTTCTTTTATTTAGCAGAATCTACATATCAAGTCTTGCTGGACAAGAAAGAAGTCCGTGGCAATTCCACTTCAGGAGTCCTGCTCATCACTTCACTGCGTGGATTGGTTCATGTCTGTTATGACGAAATCCATAGTCCCTTGGTAGCGAGCATAGCCTGTAATCAATTAGAATTTTCGCTTGGCTCCCCTCTCATGGTACCCAATGTTCTCATGCCGACAGAGAAAGTCTTCTTGATCAACTGTCTTCGGAGGGAAACTACCCTGGACGTCTGCAGCTTTGAAATGGTATCCTCTGATTATTGTAAAGAGAGTGGTCTCCTGGGAGTTTTTTGTATTGAGTAGATTGTTAAAAATAAATTGATTTTTTGTTTAAATATCAGGTTATTTAGTTATTATAAAAATCTATTTCACATTAATGAACATTTATTTATTGTATTGCCTTTATTAAATTTACTGAATGTTCGACAAATTTTCTTGTGAAATTTAACGTTTATACTAAGTTAGTATATTGTTTATATATTGACCAATAATGTTTATATATGAATCAATATTGTTTATATGAACCAATAATGTTTATATGAACCAATAATGTTTATAGATGAAACAATAATTGTTATATCAACCAATAATATTTATATATGAATCAATGATGTTTATATGAATCAATAATGTTTATATATGAACCAATAAAGACGGACGTTTTTTTTTTTCTCAATTGTGTCATTTATTACTCATTTGAAAAACAAAAAAAAATATATATATATATTTAATGTTTCTGGTGAACACAATCCTTTCCATTTGGATTTTATTAAAATTTAAGATGTTATTTTTTATTTAAGGTGTCGTTTTTTCCATGAAAAATACGCTCATTATTTTATTTTTGTTTTTTAATATCTGTAATTTTTGCATCTTTTATAAGTTAAATAACTCATATATTTTTTGCTTACTTAACAACGTTAATCCAGTTTTCTTTGTTGGTATTTCAAATTTCTTCATGACATATGCTCATTTTCTTACACTGGGGTAATTTCTTTTGATTTTAAACATTTTATAATCAATTACAAGCGGCAGAAAACCGATATTTTTTAGCAATCTCGAGAAAAATTGTTTTTCTAAAAAATGTCAGTCGTCATAAAAAATAATGTGTTTTTATCACGACTGACATTTTTTAGAAAAACAATTTTTCTCGAGATTGCTAAAAAACATCGGTTTTCTGCCGCTTGTAATTGATTATAAAATGTTTAAAATCAAAATAAATTACCCCAGTGTAAGAAAATGAGCATATGTCAGTAAAAAGAGATTTAAAATTACCTTTAGCTTAATAAAACATATATTTAGTCAGTCTTGAAGTTTTCATAATAGATTGACATTTGGATCCATACACACACGAATTTAAAAAACATTTTATTGAGAAACATATTGTGAGGCTATTGTACTTCGTTTTGTTCGATCTGGTTCAGAATTAGCGTAAACAAAACCAATCAATATCGATTCACTTACGCGGAAAGTGTATTTGAACGCGTAGTAAAATTAGGAGTAGACAACTAATAATTATGGTTTAGAGAAGAAAATGGTTAATTTGAAGTAGTTGTCTTTAAAAATGAAAGTGAAAGTGGATCGTTGCTTCCACGAGCAGTTAAGCTGAAAACGATTTCTAGAACTAAAGGTTAAAATCTTTTTTTTTTTTTGTCCAATAAGCAGTTAAATTGTAATCTTAGTAAAAATGACACAAAAAGGTATAATTAACTATACCAAGTAGTACTAAAATTGAAAAACTTGTTTTGAAAGCGAAAGTCAAAGTAGATTTTTTCTTTCAAGAGCAGTTAAAATCAAGAAGTAGTTTTAGAAGTAAAAAAACGTATAGCTTTCCTTTTTTTTAAATAATGATTTATAAGTTTTTATTTTCATTTCATTGAATGATTTTGTATTTGTCATGTATATATAAATGTATATAAATCCTGTCTGTTGAATTGCAAGTGTTGTCTTTTTATTTTATGTTTTCTTTTGATCCACACACACACACACACACACACACACACACTGCAGTATTAGTTGACAAAAGGTTTACGTCTATAATTAGCATGTATAAAGCTACTTCATGTATAGTGAAATCTGATGTTTTTCATATATCTCTTGTATAATGCGACTCCAGCTACTGAGCAATCGTAATCAAATTTTAGATATATCTGTAGACATATTTTATAGCAAGTAAATAGTTTTCATTCTTTCTTGTACAAAGCTACCCCAAATTGGTGAACTACTTGAATTCAAATTCATTTATACTCTGTGCAATCATCATTTATCGTATATCGCGATGTATTGTGTCCAAATATTTCAAGAATATGTAACGGAGAATTATAAGATAAAATAATGCCATTAAATGTTAAATAGTATAATTATTAAGAATAAATATAAATAAACAGAGGAAGACGGGATGAGGAACACAACTGAAACACCTACGGTCTAGATATATATCAAACAAAAAGGGATAACGTTGGAAAAGCAATACATCAACGATGTAAACACGTGCGAATGAAGATGAACGCAAATTGAAGAAAAGAAAAAAGGATTAATTTTTCATTTATATAAGATATTTGTAGATTTTAAGCGGTACACATAATGAATGATATGTGGTGAGTACGAAATGATAATAACCGCCTTTACCCAGTCCATTCAAATTCTAATAAGCTGAGGAAAAAGACGGAAAAAATTCGCAAGTCTATGTGAAATTTTCTTTGGGCCAATGAAAACCTTGCCTTCACTCAGATTGGTCAGTGAGCTGAGAAGAAGACGAAAAGTAAACAGCGAACCTATGCGAAATTCCTTTTGATAAAAAATGAAAATAAGTAAATTAATAAAAGTGTCTGAAGGTATGTGAAAGGTTTCGTTTCAGTTTCTCGCGAATAGCAGCCAGCGTTCAATTACTTACCAGTGTAAAATTACTCGCCATTATATTATCGGCTTTTAATCAAGTACGCGGCACTTTATAGAATTTTCTTTCAACAGTTTAAGAAAGCTAAATATTTCAGACTATCTCTCTACCTTTGAATGTATGCAAACCTTTTATCCTTTCGATAAGCAATGAACTCTATTACCTTTATTTTAAAAAAAAAATTAATATTATTTTGTGTCAGATCATTTAATCTGTTGCATGAAGATTTCCTCTTCATGACAATTCATTAAAACTACGAGCGTTAAATAATTCTGATTTATTCTCCTGAAATGAGCAACTGACACAACATCATAAAAAGTTCTACGATAGTCGAGTATATACGGTAGGCGAGTTTTTTTCAGATTCTTCAGAGTCTTGGCCACATCGGTGATGAACGAAAATATATCTGGATTGATTTATTTAGATGAGAGCGCTAAGATAAAGAATAAATAGGAAACGTTTATCAATCTAACATTTTTCACTTTTTTTAAAACTTCACTGAGATATGAAACAAAATAAGAAATGAATTCTGGCATTTTTACTTTTGTATTGTTTGATTTTCATTGGTCAATCATTTTTCATATGCATTCAACTCTTTAAACCAATGTTAGTAGAATTTGTGGTTTTCTGAATTCAAGGAGAGACGACAACGAAGTCCATCAAGAAATTAACGGATCCCATTCCTACCTGTATGTATGTAAGTGTATAAAAATTCTAGGTTTTCTATGTAGGATTCATATGATAATGTGTATTCGTAAGTGTGTGCGCGTGTGTGTATATCTGGTAGACATTATGTTTATTGGTTTTTCGCATGTTGATTTAGGAACGTTTTTAAATATATAATGTTTGTTTTAGATAAACATACATATATTCTTTAAGAATGGATTTAATAAAGGTTGGTGATGTAATATAATGTTTTTGACGTGTCTTTATAGTTGGTAATATTGTTCTTAGTAGGCCCTCTAAGTACTTTCTCCATAAAGAATTATGTTCTTTTTTTTTATTATGGTGGCATTGGTAAAATCAAAGTTATGACCAGTTTTGTTGTTATTACGAGAAAGCTTGAGTGGTTGTCTAAACGCAAATCTCTTTTGTGTTCGTAGATACGGGTTTTCGTTCTCGTGACGTCTTCACGATATAAATTCTTTTACATTGTAAATAATTTATTTTATAAGTACCGGTATCTGAATTGGTGTTAATTTTTTTTTTTTTTTTTTTTTTCCTAATTATATCTTCAATTGTCTTGGACGTAGTGGTAAACATCATTAAATGACGATGTATAAAATGACTGCCTAAGTTTTGTAATATATCGGTAACGGATTTCTACAGTAAGTTTAAAATATTCGCCGTTTTTTGAAGCTGTCCATATTGAATATCTGCTCATGTATCCTCAATAAATCCTGGTGATTTTGTAATTAGTGTTATATAAAAATAGAACATAATTACTAAAAATAACTAATGACGAGTAAGCACTTACTGGACAGAGTTATGCCCCTTTGATTTTATATTGTTTTCTTTGATATTATTTTTAATCATTTTTTTAAGCATTTCACCCCAAGCAAGGTACTAAAGCCACTAACACGCAAGGGGTTACAGTATGTTAGAGAATATGAGAGAAAACATTCTTAAGGAGAGAGGATAACGAAATAACAGGAATTATGAAGACAAAAGATAACGATTGACATTGCACTTCAATATTTTAAGATTAAAGTTGACTGGAAAGAAAGGAGCCGGAAGACAGTTAGAATAAAGTTTTTTTTACAGCTGTTAAGGTGTTCGTTATTGAAGCCATTGAATTAAATAATTTGAAACAACAAGAGTGTCAAGATGAAACAATCGATGTTCTATAAAATACAATATATATATATATATATATATATATATATATATATATATATATATATATATATATATATATATATATGTGTGTCTATAAAATAGGATCTTTTGTCTTCCTGGATCCATGTTTCTTTATTTTCCTTTCTCCTCATTTCTCCCCACTAAAATCTTCTCAATTTCTTTCACACCTTGTAATCACATGCGTCCTAGTGGCAGTATCACCTTGCTTGGGGTGAAATGATTAAAAAAGATTATTACATGAGAAATGCTCCGAAAGTAATACCTCCTATTTATTTCCACGGCAACTACAATATATATAAGGAGTACAATGGTTTCTTTGGATAAAAACAAGTTTCACTTTGAAAAACACGAGTTTTACATATTATTAAAGAATAAAACAGAATCGGATGTTTCGCCATTGCTTTTTTCTTCTGCTAATTTCCATTTCAAAACTTATATTCGTTGATTTCTTGTAACATTAATGTTTTCAAAACATAACAGATCTTGTGGATTCCTTTTATTAATTTTTTAAATCAGTTTCGTCTTTGAAATTCCTGTCTTTGAGACAAAG